TCTTCGGCGGTCTTTGTCTTTCCTCCGCTCGCTGTCATAGTCGTCGTCGCGTCGGCGGTCGCGGTCGCGGTCGCAGTCATCTCGCTTTTCTTTCCGCTTCTCGCGCCTTCGCTCGTCGTCTTCGCTGTCGTCGTCGTATTTGCTCTTGCTTCTTGACGGCTTCTCGTCTGGGATCAAGCTCTGAGCCTCCAGTTTGGCCTTTAGCTCCTCTTCTGTGATCATCTCACCGGTGACCTTGTTCCGCAGCGTAACGGGGTTGTAGCTCTGCGCGACCTTCTTCCCTTTGCCTTTGCCACCACCCCATTCACCTAGCTCAACGCCTATTGCAGCATCTTCCTTTGCGCCTATGCCAAGCAGCGCTGGTCGTCGTTTGACTTCTTTCGGTTTCGCAGCAGGACCGTTCTTGCCTATTGCATCGCCGTCCTTCCAACCCATACCACGTAGGAGCGCCGCGCCGAAGCCTTCAATCGGGGTAGCTTCGTATGCTTCGAGGGTGGGCGCGTCGGGCGCATTGTTGAGATCGTTTAAGAGTGCGTCCTCTTCTGATTGTACAGGAATCACGAGATCGTTGTCCGTGGATTTGCCGCTGATCAGCGCGTCGAGTGCCTTCTTCTCGAGCCGCTGCTCTTCCGTGAGATTGTCTTGCTCCACCTCCATCGGCTCCGCGGCTTCCGCTTCCGCAGCTCCATTTTCATGCGCTTCGTCTTTCTTGATGATCGTAAGGCCATATTGCACCTTCGGCTCCTCCATCTTGCTCTCATCGATCGTGACATTTTGCGCTTGCTGATGGGGTGCTTTCGCAAGTTGTTTCCGCCGTGCCTCTGCTCGCCAATCGCGGTTGGGTAAAGCTGGAATGATGCGCGGTCCCTCCTTCTCTTTTTTCCCGTTGGCATCGACCGCGCCGCCCTCTGCTGCGTCCCATCCCGTGATCTCCTGTTGCGTATTCGAATCGTCTGGTTCGTCGTCACCGAGCAAAAGCTTGGTCTTTTTGGTGTCTTTCTGTGCGGGAGAAGATTTCAGCCCTGGCTTCGTCTTCAGTGCCCCCAGCGACATCTTGAAGCCGCCCGGCTTGGGGGCGGCCATGGTGAATAGATCCTGCGTGGAGGCGCGTGCGCGGTGCTTTGTGTTGTGCTTTCGCAACCGCTAGAGAAAGATGTGCAGAGTTTGGGAGGTTGCGATGCAGCTTCAGGAGCGAAAGGTGTGGAGGTGTTGTGGTGTTTGTGAATGTGCTGTCGTAGGAAATGTTCACTCAGAAATCCAAAGTTCGCGCGACGACCGATGATGTAGTCTTGGCACTAGGCCCCAGCCACACGAGATCAGCTCCTGACCAAACTCACCTGTCAAGCAATGCTTGATGGTTAAAATGTACTTATAAGAAAATCTGTTGCGAAAGCACCCTTGCGCGATCAGATTCGAGCGACTAAAGCATTGACGCAAACACGTGCTCCATAGTTTCACAGAGTGTACCTGCATTCACTTCTGGAGTTATTTCATTGCCCATACTTCGCAACTACAAATACATATAGTACACCACACCTAACTCTCATCCCTCGCTCGGCAGTGGGGGAAACAACACACCCTTATGCGCTGCACCCAACTCTACCAACGGAGTTCCGTAGTCTATATCTGCGCCAGGCTTGCAGTATTCAAAGGTTCTTCGATCTTGCTGTACGCCCAGCTGGTCAAGTAGCATGCGTGCTTTGTTCGGCATGTATGGCTGTAACAGGATACCGGTGATTCGAAGTGCTTCAGCAGCAAGATAAATGATCTTGTCGACATCTTCGCCAGGCTCTCCTGGGCCAAAGGTCAAGACCTTGTCCCAGGGTTGCGACATTTGAAAGAAAGCGTTTGACTTAGTCAAGTTAGTAGGATGGCAGAAAGAAGAGTCTGTAGACTTACCCCTCGGACAAACTCTGCAATTTGTGACACGGCTTTACGCGGATCGTAGGCATCAAAAGATGCATCTACTTGCGAGGCGATGGTAGCAAGAGAATTATTCCGGAACTTGGAACCTGGTCCTTCCGCCCACTCCTCCGCTGGCCACCCACCAACACGTTCGACTGCGCCACGGACACTCCATTTCTTGCCTCGTGTAACACGGGAAGCCAGGTTGCCAAGTTGCTGGTTCAAGAACTTGTTGTACAAACCAATGATGCGGAAATTGTCATAGCTCGCATCGTCTTGTATACCACCCTCGCGAGCCATGTAAAAGCGCATAACATCCGGACCGAACCGATCAAGGGCGTGAAAAGGATCGACAACCCTGCCAGTAGATTTGGACATTTTGGACCCTCCAAGAGTCCAGTGAGCGTGTGTCAGAATCTTTTTGGGCAGTGGAAGTCCAAGAGCCATAAGGAAGGCGGGCCAGTAAATGCAGTGGAATCGCACAATGTCCTTACCGATGACATGACAGTCCGCGGGCCAGCCTCCTGCTTGTTCGCGGCCCGGTGTCCACGGGTATCCGGCCTTGGTCGCATAGTTCATAAGCGCGTCGAGCCATACGTAGATGGTCTGCGAGTCGTCTCCGGGAACTCGAATGCCCCATGTTAGTCGTTCATACGGTCGAGACACAGACAGGTCCTCCAGTCCTGATTCGACCGCTTGCACAACCTCCTTCATGCGGTGCTCTGGGGTTATCCATTCGGGGTTGTTCTTGAAGAACTCGAGCAACTTATCCTGGAATGCCGAGAGCCGGAAGTGATAGTTGACTTCTGAAGACCACTCTACTTCACTGCCAGTCTCAATCGATGTCTGTGGCCTGGTCAGATCGATCGACAGTGCCGCCCTAGCAAAATCTTACCATCATCTTCCTCCCTGTGGGTGGGTCAAGATATGGCTGTACGGCAGACTGTGGGTAGAAGCATTCGTCGGTGACTGAATACCATCCCTCATGCTTCTGCTCGTATATGAGGCCCTTCTCTTGTAGCAGGAACTGTCCGCCATCAGCTACATGGCTTTCCACTGTCTGAACTCAAGTTCTCGTACCCATGCATACTCGACAGCTTCCTTGTGTTCTCTATCCGTCGTCCGTACGAAGTGATCGTTCGTGATCTCGGCTTTGGCTGCAAGTTCCTCGTACAGGTAAGTAACGATGGCGGGGGCTCGTTATGCGTGCATGCGTACTCTGAAGATCTCGGCACCCTTATCGCAGAACAGTTTCGGGTCAATGCCAGCCTTTGCAGCTGCTCTCTGAACCTGTTACAGATTTAGTGCAATACTATCACATTGCCAGGTAAACCACCTTTAGGCCGTGTTCATCTGTTCCGGTGCATAGCAACGCCTTTTCTCCTTTGAGTTCATGCCACCGCTTTATGACGTCCGTGAGGACCATGGTATACAGGTGGCCGACATGCGGGGCAGCATTGACATAGAATATTGGCGTGGTGATGTAGTAGGGCTTCTCCGACGTTTGGGTGGTAATGTGTCGGCGGCTTCGTCCGCTACCAGCCTGCAAGGACGAGCAAATCCATGCTGACCGCCGCCTCGACAAGCTCGAAAGCACCGTTCTGAACGCAGGCGCCGTGGACCTGGCTGTTCTCGTATGCATGCTTTCATGGGCGTCTCACAGTGATTCGCGACGATTTCCCGCGGCAACTTTTGGCGCGGTGCCACGTGCGACGCTAGCTTAATCAGCTCCTTATCGACCAGGCGGCTGCTCAGACAACCCAACACACACCACGACGTGTTCCTGGCGCTCGAGTCCTTCGCATTCATATCACCAGCTGAAACCGGCGACTTCGAAAGAGCTCATGGAGTGAAAACTTTCGTATTCAGAGGGCGCATCGAGCCTGGCTGACGATTCCCCTGACAGTAATCCCACCAGTATTGCGTTGCCAATAGACTCACAAGCCCAACAGGAACCGTTCGCGATTCAAAGGATTCAGACTAGGGGTGTCCTTCCCACGTGGCACATGGTGCACGGCAAGGAGCATTCATGCAGGTGTTTCTTTTCCATCGAAATATGTCGTCAGACGCCCCCAAGCGCACCCTGCATGCGAGCGACACTTGCATAATCATCTTGCCGACAATGCTATATTCTCCACCTCTCAGCGTATCTACCGTTTACGGCTGGTCAAACCGCTGCTGTTCTAGGACAACGGCTCTTTCGGAAGCCCTCGCAGAGTCACTTGCATCATGGTCCTCCTACGTCAACACTGGGCGAGCCCATTGTCGTACAGATCACAGGTTGCGATCGATCCAAAATCATTGGTGGACCTGAAGTCTCTTTCTCTCGATCTCAAAGATGATTTCATTCTCGACATGCGCTAATGTGCGTAATATTGCTCGATCACACCTCCATGAAAGCTACTCCACCTTTGAGCCGCCTCCTTAACGCCGATACCTCAATCCTGAGTCGTTTACTCGTGAACCTTCCAGAAGGCGTTCTTTGATCCAGTAAAATCAATCTTTCATAATGTGGCGCGTCATTGTGCTGATATCGAGTGCACGCGAGCCGTGCCAAGCCTCTTTTTTCTATTGAAGCTATTCAGACCCAAAAGAGGTAATCACAACACCAGAACTCGTTCGCTTTCAACGTTGTAGTAATCCCTTGTTGCACTTGTCGCAAAGCGTATGCTCGCCGTCTCCCCGCGAGCTTTGAATCTTCTCGGACCAAGTTATCCGTAATCCATGGCGCCCCCGAAGGCCTGGAAGACCTCTTTGCTCTGGATAACCTTGCTTTGGGGCTTAACCGACCTCCATTCAGAGTGATCCCTTTGAGGGCTTGCCTTCACTTATCGGACTTGGGCGACCCGAAGGTCTATTGAGCAACAATGTGGCCTATTCATGTTCTGGGGTGTCAATAGAGAAAAAGAACGCCTCCGTTAGGTTCTCTCGTGTGATTACATCTCCCTCTCGAACTTAAGTACTCTCCCCAGCACGCACCAATATCTTTCGACATCGTCTGCACCTTCAAGGATCAGCATCAACCATCTGATCAACAGTCGATCCTCTCCAACCTTCACGATACTTTACCACACGATCTATCCAAGTTCGACATCATGAAGATCTCCGCCTTCATCGCCTCCGCCATCCTGTCGGTCACTGTTAACAGTGCCGCCTTGCCAGTTCCTGCCCCCGTCGCTGCACCCGCTGCTGAGGGAACGAGAAAGCCCGTTTGGGGACGCAACGCTGAAGCAGCACCCGCTGAAGCAACGCATAAGCCCGTTTGGGGACGCAACGCTGAAGCAGCACCCGCTCCTAGCCCACAGAAGCATAAGCCCGTCTGGGGACGCGACGCTGAAGCAGCACCCGCTCCTGGCCCACCGAAGTGGGTGTATCCCGGAACGAAGCCCGTTTGGGGACGCAACGCTGAAGCTGCTCCCGCTCCTGGCCCACCGAAGTGGGTGTATCCCGGAACGAAGCCCGTTTGGGGACGCAACGCTGAAGCTGCTCCCGCTCCTAACCCACAGAAGCATAAGCCCGTCTGGGGACGCGCTCCTGAAGCTGGGAAGTGGGTGAAGCCCGGAACGAAGCCCGTTTGGGGACGCAACGCTGAAGCAGCACCCGCTCCTAACCCACAGAAGCATAAGCCCGTTTGGGGACGCGACGCTGAAGCTGCTCCCGCTCCTGACGCAGGGAGAAAGCCAGTTTGGGGGCGCGATGCTGAAGCTGCTCCCGCTCCTGACGCAGGGAGAAGGCCAGTCTGGGGGCGCAACGCTGAAGCTGCTCCCGCTCCTAACCCACAGGGTGGGCCCCTTTGGGACACCAAAGTTGGCGCGGCCGAAGACGATGAGGAGTAAACCTCTTCACGATGAGGACATTCTTCGACTCTTATATCGCACTACGACAACCGCCATATCAGCTGCTCGATTGCACCATCTCCTACCTTCGATTCAGAACACTCGACGCACACTCGATCATTCGCAAGTCATACACACGCCAGCTACACTTGCAGTATGACCATGGACAACCACGCGACGAGTCTTGTGTTATTATACCGATAGCTCTACACAACACTGTCTCAGTCATGAGGCATGTTCTGGTACCTCATCAGTACACGGACAGAGCTTGACCGGTCTCCCACCTCTTGGACCACGTTCGTGGCATGGAGAGTTTGTACATACATGGTGGCAGACGTCTGGTTAATTCTTTTTCTTAAATATGTATGTAATGGTCGAACTGTACGAGCTTGCTCGATTTCCTTCTTGGTATCTAGTAATATATTCTTGTCCATGCTTGCACTACATTGCAGTTTTGCTGGCATGATCATCCCTCCACTGTGCCAGCATGCATATCACACTTGATTAACAACATCGGTGTGGCTTTGATCGTCCATTGTCAGCTCATATACACAGCCCCAAACTATGCATCTGGTCTTCCATACCGAGCTTCAAGCAATGGTCACGTAGTCGATCTCCGACTCCATACGCAGGTTCGTACAACATCGCCTCGTCCAACTCATCACACGTGCTCCCCTCAGAATAGCCGCTCAAGCTACCACCGTAACAGCAACAATCTCCGCGCCCATGGTCCATCACTACCGACACTACCATCACTTCGCGCTCATGTCACGACGCACCAGAGATTTTGACAGCTGTCAGTGCGACCTTGCCTTGTAACGTGCATCATCTAGTTGGAAAAAAGTGCACCTATGCAATTAGCCGCTGTCATTCGCACGTTGGTGCTCACCTAGGAGCACCGAGAGAGAGGCTCTGAGATTAAGCTCCTTGGTCGCTGGCATGGACTTGTGTGATGGTGGTGGAGAAGATGGGGATTGTGCTATCAAACTTCCCGGCGAGGGAGCGAGTCGGACGTTGTGCGACGCGGATTGAACGTCTGTTTTGCCTGCGAGCTGAGCTGAGAGCAATGCAACCTCGGAGGAGCGATGGGAGTAGAGATGAAGTTGAAGTGGTGTACGGCTCCAGCTCCGATTTCCCCCGCTCTCGGACACACTCCAATAAGTCGATATTTCGCATATCGTTTCCAATAATTATCTCATCGTTTCACCGAAGTCACACAAACATATCCAAGACCCCCAATCAATGCCCTGTCACCGAACCGTCATATTGCCAAAACTCCACACTCAAAAACTTTAATCTGTCATTTGATGAGTAGTGCAATATCAAACATTTGTCACCTCCCAGCCCGATCCAGCCCCGCGGTAACCCAATCGTCCAAGGCATTTAGCAGTATGCCTTGTGAACGAACGATTGAGCTGAACGTATCGCACATCGTCGCTTAGCATGTCACATATGGGGTGACGTTTCACATGCGAGTGATGGAGGTTCATGCGCGAAGTCAAGCGAGCGGACCAGGTGGCATGTGTGTTTAAGGGCCTTAAGATCCGATTTAGCAATCGAGAATTTGAAATAAGAACTCAGGATAAACTGATCATAATTAGCGGTATTTTGTGGATACGTTGACTATATTCGTGGTTGACGTATTTGGGGGCCGACGTGGTTTCGTGATGGGGCTGCTTTCGGCCGGGGGAGAACAACGCACACCGCCGGGGCGACCCCACGAGAACAACGTCGGAGACCGAGTGTTTTAAAGCAAGTGACGAGCATGGATGCTTCGGAAGGCGGTGATGAAGTGGTATCTATACGTGGAAGCACGGCGATGGGTGGTTATAGGAAGAGTTTGTAGTATGACGTTCATTCGTATTCATGGATAGTACCTAGATGTTCCCTTCACCTTCCCGCCCCACACTTGCATCCATCTCACTTCATCTCAACATAAGGACAGCTTTTAGTCAAAGCAAAAAAATACCACCCGATTCAAGGAGTGATTGTTGCAAGACCTCCACGCTCGAGCAAAATGACCAAGACATTACCATGTTCAAACCAAAGAATAACCAAATGTTCCCTGACCTTGCGGCCCCGCTCAGCGTTCCAAGTCTTTAGATGTATGCAGTAGTGAAAGTAAATATATGCTGCCTCCAAGAGATTGGGAGAAGACACAAATAGCAGTAACATGCAGGATGGCGCGAAACAAAAAGAACAACGGAAAGGGTATAATAGCGGATCATGATCGGACTGAGGAAGAGGAGATTGCGCAGAAATCAAGAAGACGACAAAACATACGCTCGCTTGCTAGACCAAAAACAATTGAAACAAGAACAGACTAGTAGAGGAAAGTGTGATGGCCATGTAAGTGTAGCCATCACATGTTAGCGCCATTGATATTGACTTCGTAGCCGTCGCTCTTAGCCTTCAAGGCCTTGGCCAACATGAGCTCACGCATCCAGTCAATTCTCTGGTCTTTGGTGGTTACAGCAAAGTGCTGGACCTTGCCGTTGGGCATCACCTTTTTGACATCGCCTTTTCCAGGTGCGGCAGGCACAAGCTGGAACTCAAAGGCAGGAGTAGAAGCAGCTGACTTCTCCTTGTGATGACCCGAGGAGAGCTTCAGAGCCTTGAACTTGGCAGAGAGCTTGTTGGAAGCGATGGATGAGCATGCTACTGCGTAGTCGTCCACGTCGATCGTCTGCAGTGCGGATGAAGACGGAAGCTCATTGGGATGCATAGCTAGCTGTGTGCCCTGGAGGCGGAAGTGGTGGTCTTGCCATTCGTGACGCAGGAGCTTCGTGCGGCGCTTCTTCATCCATCCGTGGTGGTTTACTCCCTTGTACACAAAGCCTCCCTTGTGCAAAGGCGCAATCGTGTCACTAGCTTCGCTGGCGAATGGCTGGGTAGCTTTGAGCGGCGACGAGCCAGCGCTGTCGCTAGTACTGACCGAGTCGTCGAAAATGGTTCCGCGCAGGGTGTCGTCATCTGAGTGGGCGGTTGGGCTGAACACGCGATCCTCAGCAAGCGCCGGCATGGGCAACGAGGGGCGCCTTCGGTCGTGACGCGATCCAACTCTTTGGATTTGGGGCTGGTACTGCATGTTCGGAGGCACGGACTGGCTTGTGTCGCGACTAAGTGGCTCCTGTTGCACAGCAGTCACAGGAACGTCCATCTCGGAGAAGGGCGTGCCGAACCGGTAGACGCCACCTGGTGACGCTGTCCTACATGGCGAGAATGCGGTGTCGGGTGCGAGGTACTGTTGTACTGGGACTCCTTGGCGTGGGTTACCAGCCGGTTGGGCAGACATTGAACGTGCGGGAGGAATCGTCAACTTGGGAAGGCTCTTGAGATTTGAATGAGGTGCTGGCATGAACTCCGGGGGATGCAGAGCTGGAGTTGAGGGTGAGCGACTGAATGGATCGAAAGACTTTGTTGTATGCGCCGATGTAGATGCAGAAAAGGCTGAAACCTGCGGGTAGTGCGATTGCTGTGGTATCACCAAGAAGGGACGAGGTGGGTATGATTCTGTAGGCGGGGTTGGAGGAGCCTCGATTGGAGTAGCGCTGACGAAGGGCTGCTGGCCTTGTAGGGTGAGGAACTGTCGCACATTGTCTTGCGGGTCGCGTTGCTCAAACTTTTCTAGGTCTTGAAGACTGAAATCAGGTAGCTGACCAGGCCCAAGGACGTCGGACGATGCTACAACAGACGGCACCACAACAGAAGGGGTAGCTTCAGAGTTCGGGCGGTGGACGTTCTCGACAGCGTGGGATGCTGTTTGGGGGTTGCCTGGATCACCCGCTATGAAGATGTGACCACCCTTCTCGGGCGAGATCGGGAAGCCGTGTTCCTGTTGAAGTCTGGCAAGTTGCCGCTGTTGCTTCCTCCATTTGGCGCATCGTTCACCCTTTGCGCACACGTGTGGCTTGGGAAGCAGCTGTTCGATCGCTACAATGGAGACGGAATGCGCAGGTGTGATAACATCGTCTGTCATGTGGTTCCCTCGCAACTTATCGCGTCGACTAGCTTTCCTGCCCTTGCTCTTGGACCTGTTCCGTGCCTCTGTGCATGGTCGTTCAATGTCTTCGAAAGGAGTCGGGATGGCTGCTGGGGCAGTTGGCGACATCAGCCCGTCGGCAGTGCGCAGAGAATCGATTTGGTTCCACAGCTGATGTCTCTTGCCAAAGGACTGAATCTCCAACTCCTTCAGGTCGTCGAACTGCAGATCCAGTAGTACCGCACCGGAGATGTCGTGCTCCATGAACTTGTCAATTACGTCGTCTTCAAATCCGTTCTGATACATCCAGGTCGCAACGTCTTTGGAAGTCCAGGCGCGCACTTCAGCGTTGTCCAAGTGGGCAACGGCGAGAGCGATATTGTTGTACTCTCTCTGGGGGACAATGGTTTCGGGAGTGGCCTCTCGGAAGGAGGTTGGAAGACGAAGTGGAGTTTCTTTTGGCAGGAGAGGCGACATCTGCATTACTTGGCCCTCGTCAAACGGAAAGTCGCTGGACGACACTGAGGCGCGGAAGAGGTGTGGTCCTCTGGGGCCTTCTACTGACTTCCGTTCTGGCCAATAGGCGAACTGTGGTCGTACTTCTTCCGCAGGTGTCCGTACTTCCTCAAAAGTAGAAATCGTTGTTTGACTTCGCCTGTTGTCGCTCTTTGGAAAGTCAGTGTCGCATTTGGTGAAGGGCCAGAATATACATACAGATGAGCCACTGAACTCTTCGAATTCGCTAGAATCATCCTCGATGTCGGTGTATGCGACACTGATGTGAGAAACCGGGCGCTCTAGCGATGAGCGGGCCGTTAGAGCATTGGAGAAGAACGACTGTGTCTTTCCTCGTTCGAACATTTCCACGCCCGGCTCCAGCGGGGTGATGGGTGTCATGGCCTGCTGATCGGGATGTCAGAACCGCACATGGAGAGGACTGAGAGTCTAGCTTACCATGATCACGGGTTTGGAGCGTACACGCTCTGTGAGAGGGAATTTGGTTGTTCGGGAGGCTGCTAACAACTATTCCGGGCGAGTGTCGCGAGCATGGCACACACACAGTAACAGCACAACGATCGAAAACGGAGAAAGAGACCCTTCGGGTGGAGAGCGCTTGAGGGTCTTTTGTAAAGGCTGCTTGGGCGCCGTTGACGGTGGGGGAGTGTGGTTCGACAATATCACACTTCGCAGCTGCACGAGACAGCGCATGCCTGCTTAAGCCGGCCACTGAGGCAGTCGACTCGACGAGCGACACCGCTTCTCGGCCAATGTGAATCCGGGCCTTTCCCGCCCGCATGCTGGTCGAGGGTTAGGCTGGCGCTTAGACTCGAGCGTTGAGAGGGCGTGAGACGGCCCCCATTCGCTGGGCTGCAGATTGGCTGGCGGGCTAATTCTGCTCGATGAGGACATTAACTGCCATTAATACCTCGCAGCGCGGGCCAGACGCATGAAGAGGCCAGGGCCGTCACGGATCCACTCAGGATCAGGGTCGACGGCAGCGGATCGCGTCGCCGCTTGTCGAGTGCAGATGCGACGACGATCTGAGCTGGCCATGCCGTGCCCGCGTGCTGTTGGCTGCTTCGCGGTGCCTGCGCAGCCCCAGAGTACGTACCTCGGGATGTTTTTCGTCCAGTCGCATCACCACCGCCACCGCGACCAAGTCATGGCAGGTCATTCTGGATGTCACTTGACCTTCGAGCCTCTGCGCGCGGTGTCGGTGAAGCTTCGGTTCGGAGCGTCGACTGGGTCCCAGGACTGTGGCTGGTTGAGGTCGCTAGCCGACAGCCTCATCAGCGACATGCAGCAAGCGATATTGGCACAACCATATCACATGCGGATGCGTTCCGTGCTCGACGGCTGTGTGCAGCCTGCAGCCGTGCGCGCCGCCGCCGACTCGAGCACACCAGCCTGTCGTCATCGCTGTAGTCGCGTTTCCCGAGCATTGCGAGCACTCTCCTGCCCGTCGGACCTACCTCGATGTCTTTTGCGTTGTCGTGCGACCTGGATGCTAGCACAATCAGCATGCTAGCACAATCCCCCGAACCTTGACTCATCCCACAAGCGTCCCCAGTGGCCCACCGGCTATCTGCTACCGTTGCGATGCCATGCCAGACCGCCGCTCCGACCGTTGCACACCACCACCTAGCACCTAGCCCATCCACGACGGCTCGCCATGGGACCCTCATTACCTTGCCGACCAACGGTCGCTCGCAGAGCTCCTTCACCACGACCCCGTGACTGAGTGGTCCTGCGGCCAGCCGCATCTTTTGAGTCTGGTGTTCCACTATCACCATGGCCTCGTTGAAGCGTGGATGCCAAAGGCGAATCAGCGTGCGGAGACGACTTCCCACGACCAGACTACCAGACCGCAAGTTGTGCAAGCATCAAGCATGCTCCCCAGCAACCTCGATGAACCGCGCCAAGCTGAACAGAATTTCTTTCTCTTGTGCTACGTGCTGCATAGTTCGTGAAATACCAGCAGAACGGCTCTCGTCCCACATTTCCGTGCATTACGAAGAGTCACAAACTGCTCGTGAGCATCCGGCTCCGAAAGCTCTGCGCATGGCGCTCAAGACCCGGTTAGATTTTCATCACCACTACCACAAGTGGTACCCGAAAGCGAGCGATGAAATTGTCCAATTGTGCCGTTGGCCAGATTGGCCATCTCAATCTAATCCGCCTCATCTTCATCACCCCAAGGAATCCAACAGGATGCATGGAAGGCAGTATCATATCCAGATACCGGGGAACGATAGCGGCTTTCAGCGGGAACATGACGGCCAAAGCATGAATGCGCATTGTCAGGTGAGCAATCCCGTGCATGCCCAACCGTCCGAAGAGGTACCTAGTCGCTAGAGGGCCATTCGTGGACTACCAAGTATTGATTGTAATTGTCGGTAACCAATCGCACGTCTAGCAAGTGGTATCACATCCCGAACGGGTCTCGCTTCACCTGTCTTGCAGGCATGACGAAGGACGACTAATTATGGGCATTTACTTTGAACCGGCAACATAATTAAGGGCCTATACTTAGCAGCGGCCCTTCCCTGTCACCCACCGAGATTTCCTTGCCGGTGGCTTGCCCCGCAGTGTAAGCTAGGACGATGGATGCTGTCATTGGATACACAGCTTCACTAGAGAAAGCTTGTCCTGCAAATTCCAACCCCGTCAACATGCACAAGCGACTTGCTTCGCGTGGGAGCGCACGCTGACTGGATGCCACTGCCTGTCGTGCCATGCTAACTCGCCGCGTTACTCGAAGGCTCACCCACTCTACTTCCAAGGTTGTCCTCTACCGCGTAGCTCGGGAAAACACCATCAACCGACCTGCCGTGTTTGGTCGACAATGCGGTCTACGTTTTCGTTCGCCTAGCTACTAGCTGGTCAAGTCCCGCTGTGGAAATGATCACGACAGCGTGCACGCGAATTGGGCCGCCTCGAGTCTGCGTGACTCTGCCCGCGAAAGCCCGAACGTTCTGGCTGAACGTAGCACAGGCGAATAGATTCGAGTAGCAGCCGCATCTCGTGGGACCACGAGTCGCTGTACCTTTGTTGGTGTCGACACGCGGGCAGGTACCAATACACCACGTACATGGGACTTGCAGATGCTATGCCATCATCTACATACTTGGCATACTGCAGTACGGGATCTGCACACTGCACAAGGCCACCAGTAACGTCCGGGCCGGCCACTTATCGCAGCCGCTTCATGTACTTCCTAGGCCGCTCTTGGACGCACCTCGATAGTGCCCCGCAAGGAGGTTGGCACAAGAGGGGATCAAGGCATACGGCCCCGGTCAGCAAAAACTCTCAAGGCGACATGGGAGTATGCTTCCAGTACTAAATGGGTCATTTAACTTGCTAAAGTCGTTGCGGGGACCAGTAAGCCGATCGATAGCCGTGGAGATATACGCGCTAAGTGCTGCTGTTGGCTCTAGCGCGGCGGGTAGAGAGCCCCAAAATAGCTGGGAGCACAGAATGACCCCAAATGTCGACATCAGGCTGCACGCCAGGACTAGTCGTCCAATCAGTGTGCCGCGTGCGTGTGCTGCATGGCGTTCGCATCTCCCTCCCGTTGGATGACCACCCGGCCTGATAGCAGGGACTCCAATTATAGATTCAGCAATATTTGTGAACATTCTGCCGTTCGTGGTAGATATAAGGTACATGTCCTTCACTAATACTTCTCCACGCAACAGGTAGACCGCATAATTTGGTTCCGCTCCTTCCTTCACATCAAGCCCGCTGGTCAGGCTTTGAATACCCATCTTTAATTACGAGCAGCCCGGTCGAGCCCTGCCATCCTGTCCCTTACGAATCGTCCCGTCGCGCGTTAGTCGTTATTGCCGCATTGTTTACTGGCTTTCCTCATATACCACCGCTCTGGGTACATCAAGCGTCCATGTCCTCCTCGTCCGCTCCCCCATCCGCTACCAAACAGTCCTCCACCATGGTAGGGACTACAAATGCTGCTAATGCAGCAAAGCAACAAGCTGCAGCAAAAATGCACCGTCGTTCACGATCAGGTAAGGACCACCCTTTCGATGACATGCAGGGATCCTGCGCATGGACGGTTGACTAACGGGACCTCTGCAGGGTGCTTCACATGTCGCCTGCGACGGAAGAAGTGTGATGAGGGCAAACCATCTTGCCGCGCCTGCAAACACCTTGGTCTCAAGTGCGAATACAAGAGGCCAATGTGGTGGAGCAACAATGAACAAAGGCGGACTCAAAAAGAAGTCATCAAGAACATCATCAAGCGCACCAAGCTTAATGAGAAGACAGCACAGAGCGGCGCAATGGGCACCAACACACCACCAAGCCTGTGCCATTCCATGCAAACTGCCGACACCTTCTCAGACGGTGTCAGCTGCACTCGCGCGCCATCTGTCGACTCCCAGAACTCGCTGGACTACAACTTCAACCCCACTGTCACACCTGACTTCTACAACTCGTCAATGCCTCCGCCAATGTTCGCCCCCACTTTCACCCACCCAGGTCACTACGTACCCTACGACATCGACATCAAGACCGAAAGCCAAATGTTCATCAACGACATTCCAACTCGTCGCGATTCCACACTGTCATCTTACAGTCACTACCAAACTCCGCCCGCTCACATCTATCCCACGGACGACTGGATCCAGAAAGATTACTTCGAGCGCCGCGAATCGTACATTGAGGAGCCCCTCGAATTTCCCATCTTTGACTACACTACCTACGGTGCTTTCAGCCCATCACACCAGCCCTCCATTCAGGTCGAAGACTGTGATCGCCATCTTCTCAGCCATTTCCTCGACAACATCATGCCCACAGCATTCCCGGTTCTTGAGACAAACCAGCCCGGCGCTGCGCAGCGCGATGTGATCATTCCAGCTCTGGAGTCCAACAAGGCTTACCTACACTGCTGCATGAGCATATCTGCGCTACACATGAAGACTACTCAAGGACTTGTGGGAGAAGTGATCGACCAAGACATCCAACGGCACCGCGGAGAAACCGTTCAGCAACTCACTGCGGCGCTCTACAGCGACAGCCAGCATGGTCAGACTCTCGAGGCCGCGCTTGGTATGATCTTTTTCCAGTGCTCAGTCGGCCGATTCAACGATGGCCTGATGGACATCCCGTGGCATGGACACTTCGAAGCAGTCCAGAACCTTGTTCACAGGCTCGAGCTTCCCGCGCAGATGATCGCGATGAACGGACAAGCACACGCTCAGCCTCCCTTCAACATGACACTGGCTTCCTGGATCGACATCCTCGGCGCTACCATGCTGGGCAGGACACCATCTTTCGCTGACACCTACCGCGAGAAGCTCATTGCTGACGCATCGTCTGGCCTCGCCGAACTCATGGGCTGTGAAGATCGCATCATGTACCTGATCTCGGAGATTGCTTGCCTCGAAGCGCTGAAGAACGAGAACATGGATGTTGTCCAGCTTTGCGCGCACATCAAG